TTTTTTTTCTTTTTTTTTTTTTTTTTTGTTATTTCTTTGTTTGCAATATATAATTCATCTCCTGGAGGAAAAGCTCACAGATCTTAGTATGATTTACTTAATCATAATGCACAGTGGGTAAGTGGTGTCAATCTTGTTCGTTTCCTAGAAGAAAGAAGGGATAGGTATTGAATGATGATTGGGACTTTCAAGCCTGTCAAATTAATGCAACCAAAAGTTACCTATAAAAACAGTGCATGTGAGATCTAAAGGAGCACGCATTTGTCTGTGCTTGCACGCTCTGAAATTGAACCTGGGAACATTTTGCGTGCAAAGTACAGACTACCAGTTAGCTATATTCACTGTCCCAGAGATAATTTTTTGAAAGCATTCACTTTTCCATCAGCAATTTAAACAGTTACAATTGTAATTAAGGACTAAGTTTTTCATTACTATTTTCAGTGTTTATCTGAATAGTTCATCTGAGGAGAAAAACTTTAACTTTTTAGAATACTTGATTTCAGTTTTTTAATTGGAAGAGTTGTTCAAAATACAGACAATGTCCTTTATTATCAGAAAAGTGAAAGATGAAATCCTGTTGTAAGTGCATGGCAAATGTTAACTGAACTAACATGTTTTAGGACTTTCAAGAAAATATCTTCTATGTATTTTAATTTTCCTTTAACAGATAACTCACATTTCATAGAATTGATTTTTCCTCTCTTATCAACCTTTGGATAGAGGTGTTGGTCAGAAAGGTCATCACCTCAAAGTTTGGATAAACTTACAATGATCCTTTATGGCCATCATAAATATTGAAATAGTTCTGTGTGTGCTAACTTGGAAAGATATCTGTGAAATATGTAAAATGAAGGCACCAGATAAGCTTGTATTGCCTAATTAAGAAAAAAAGTTATTTAAAATGAATTACAGCAGGGCTGGGAAAATGTAGCTCAGTGGTGCTGCGCCTGCTTGGCAAGCACAAGGTCCTGAGTTCGAGCCCTGGTACCAAGAAAGAAAAAAATAAATAAAAAATAAAGTTAATTACAGTTTCATATGTGCTTTCTCCTAATTTTTGCTTGAGGTTTCTTTTTACTTTTTTTTTTTTTTTTTTTGAGATTTCTTAATCAGCAGGTCCCAATTATTATTCTGTACCAAAACAGGCCCATTGTCATTGGTCTACAACAAACAGATATATAGGGTAAAGTGAGTCTTTAACTAAGATGACTATATTTGATTTAGAAGGCCATCTTTTAAGATTTTCTATTCCTTTGACCTAAGATGTCTTTTTTTCTTATGAAAATTCAGTTGTTTTTGATAATTGACTTGTCAGAATAAAAAAATCAAATGCAGTACATGATCCTTGACTGGATCCAGGGTTTAGAAAACCTAAGTAGTAATGTGCTAGAGCGAGCTCCTGTACCTCACCACACATCAGCTCTTCCCAGTTCAGTATGCATTGACTCCACCCACATCAGTAGCTTATCCACCACTGTAGAATATTCGCCTCCTAGACATCAGGTTCCCCTACCACTAGAACTGGTTATTAAACATTGGCCAAAACATCTCTTGGAAATACTGTACACATTTTCATGTAGACTGTATCACATAATATTGTGTCACTGTTCGGTTTCTTGGTATGGTGTGGTATTCTTGGAGAAATCAGATATTCTTACAATTTTTCAGTAGATTTGAAATGTTTCAAAATGTTCTTTTTGCTCAAATACATATATATGTGTATGTATTTGTGTGTGTGTTATATATATACACATATATATGTGTGTATATATATGTGTGTATGTGTGTGTGTGTGTGTGTGTGTGTGTGTATATATATATAGTATTTTCAAAGTTTTCTTAGAGACAAAAATGAGATTTTGAAACAACAAAATGTCAAATCCGGAGAGAATAGCAAAGGAAACCAAAACTTGGAGGGAGAAGTAGCTTACCAGCTATCACATGGCCCAAAATTTTCCAAGGCAAGATATGAACCCAAGTCTAAGTGAAAGCTCCATTTCCTGTGGAAATAAAAATAAAATCTTCAAAATGGTTTCAGTTGGTTTTAAAGAGAGCAAAAATACTACCTTAAAAGATGCAAAGTACTTAAATGTGTTTTTCTTTTTTTTTTCCTTAGGTATGTAGGATTTTGTATGAAATTTGTAAATATGCTGCTGTCTCATGGCATCAGGCCTATTCTTGTATTTGATGGATGTACTTTACCTTCTAAAAAAGAAGTAGAGAAGTCTAGAAGAGAGTAAGTTGACTCTACTTAATTCCTAAAATTGTGCTAAGATCAGATGCTCTGTCAATGATAGCAAAATTTTCAAATCTTAATTTGTTAAAACTTGTTTTATAGATTATTATCTGAACAGATTTCTTTAATTTTGTTAGGTTATTATCACTTCTATAAAAATCTTAGTTGTTGGATTTCCATTTGACACAAAGCATTGCTGTGGAAGCGTCTGACAGTAATGATGTTTGTGCTCATGTACAGATCTTTCATTCTTTGTACCTAGAAGCCCAAAAGATCTGGGTTAATATCGTCAAGGACTCAGTGTGCACTTTCAAATAAGTCAAACTTTCATTCCGGCAAAATTGTTAGAATCATATTTCTAAAATAATTTTTTGGCTCAACCATGTAAATATGTTTTCGTATTTTAAAAAATATCCTTCCCTTACAGAAGGCGACAGTCCAACCTTCTTAAGGGAAAGCAGCTTCTTCGTGAGGGGAAAGTCTCAGAAGCCCGAGAATGTTTTACTCGTTCTATCAATATCACACATGCTATGGCCCACAAAGTTATTAAAGTAAGCAAATATTAGGAGAACAAATGGCCAAGTTCATTTAACTCACTCCAAGTTGCTTATTGATGGGAGAGGAAGAAAATCAAGGGCGGGTAATTGTTCTAGGCCTGATCTTGAGCAAAGGTTGGATGTCAGAGAAGAAGGCAACAGCGCTCTTAGAGGAGAGGAATCCAGCAGTTTCTAAGGGAGGAGCCCTGAGACAAGTGAGGCTGTCCTTGGGAGGTAAATGCTTTGGATAGATAAACTCATGGCAGGTTCTGTAGAGATGGAAGGGACAGATTCCTGGGTTGTTCATTCTCACCCCACCTTCCTATAGCCTTCAGCGCTTAACCCTCCGAGTGTGATATATAGAGGAAGTGTGTAGGGCCAGGGATGCAGCTCAGCGGCACCTCACCTGCCTGGCATGTACGAGGTCTGAGTTAGATCCCCAGTACAGGGGGAAGAAAAGATAGAGGAACTGTGCACAGCATAGCCACAAGAAGAGAAAATTCCTTTGTGGGTAGTAGATAAGAAACTCTGATTGGGCACAAATACTGGTGCCAAAGAATGAGCGTAGAATACTTGCTAGGTAGGCAAAAAAGAAAGAAAAATAGCATATTGCAGGGCCGGGGATTTAGCTCAGTGGTTTCACTGCCTGCCTTGCAAGCACAAGGATCTGAGTTTGATCCCTGGTACCAAAAAAAAAAAAAAAAA